TGACATCACAGCTCACAGCAACCTCCAACTCCTGGGCTCAAGCAAGTCTTCTGCCTCAGCCTCCTGAGTAGCTGGGACCACAGGTGCCCGCCACAGTGCCTGGCTATTTTTTTTTTTTGGTTGCAGCCATTATTGTTGTTTGGCAGGCCCAGGCTGGATTCGAACCCGTCACCTTAGGCGTATGTGGCTGGTGCCTTAGCTGCTTGAGCCACAATTAGGGCACTGAGCCTTAATTATATTTCTTAATTTAAATGTAAGTACCTTTATTTCACTTGCTTATACATGAGTATAAAAAACAGTTAAATTCTATCTTTATCCTAAAGTTTAGATGTGACAATTAAATTAACGGAAATTCTCCAAGATTCATAACAATTATTGTGTTATGAAGAAAAGTTATGTAAATTCACTCAAATGTATTAAAGTTGATGTTTGAGCCAACTTTCAGAGACTTGCTAACTAATGTTTAACATCCTGACTTGGGGAAGCAACCCAACTGGGAGGTTACAAGGCCCAGATACTAAACACTGGCTCATGCCTCTGGAGAGCACATCAGCCACACAGTGGGAATTTGGGTCCACTGCCAATACCGCACCTTCCCACATTCCCTCAGCATCAAGTTTGGGAAAAGAATGTCTGTTTCTATACAAAGAAAAATTTATTGCTGAACAATAACAAAAGATCCCCTTCATAAAGAAACTGCAAAATAAACTACAATAAAGGGGAAATCATGTGACTTTGAGGACACACAGCGAAGCTAAGACCAGAGATTACCAGAAAGTAGCAGCCTTGGAGCTGGTATTCTAGATAGCATCTGGCATAGTTAGTTCTAAAACTTTTATTCTGCACTTTCCTTTAAATAGAATTATTACTCTATTATTAACTATTTGATACACTTGTTAGGCATGAATTTATATATTTTGAGGTCTTAGATTTTACCCAAGTGGATGACATTATTAATTATTTGAGAAGATAGTTTACAAACAGTTATAGTGGCTACTCTGGAAGCCCCTAGCTCACAGTTGAGGACTACACATATACATTTAGAAATATACCAGAGTTGGACTAGATTTCCTTTCACTTTTCTTCTATGCCTCCATAAAGGCATAGAAGAAATGCCTATGCCTCTAATGACTTATTTTATGTCTCGTACTTCTATTATTTAAGTTCAGCTGCATTTTAATTAGAGTTTAAAAACTGAAAATAAAATTGCATCTGCTGATAAAAGGGCACTGCTTCAAGAACTGAAAGCCTAGGGGAAAACAAAACAGGGAAGCATCAGATAAACAAACGCAATGGCTCCTGCCAGCAAGAAAGTATCCAACGTGACATACATGTAGAAAACCAGCTCAACATCAAGCCCAGCAGGGAAATTAAAAGTATCATCCAAGGGATACAATAAAGGGACAAAAAGCAAATATCCATAAACAGGTGTGCCCTGTTGATAAAGATGCATTCTGGAAATCCATTATGTATGCAAACATTGTAGCATGCTGACTCTTTTCATGACAACAGATGTCAAATGTTCCACCATGGGTGGGGGCCAATGGCTAATGCACTGAAGAAGTAAAAAAGAGACTAGATTCTTTTCCCAACAAACAGGCACATCATAATCAGATATTAAAAGACCCCTTAGAGGCCGGGTGTGGTGGCTCACGCCTGTAATCCCAGCACTCTGGGAAGTTGAGGCAGGTGGATCATGTGAGTTCAGGAGTTCGAGACCAGCTCTGAGCTAGAGTGAGACCCCATCTTTAAAAATAGCCGGGCATTGTGGCAGATGTCTGTAGTCCCAGCTACTCAGGAGGCTGAGGCAAGAGAATTGCTTGAGCCCAAGAGTTTAAGGTTGCTGTGAGCTGTGATGCTACAGCACTCTATTGGGGATGACAAAGTGTGACTCTGTCTCAAAAAATACAATACAATACCCCTTAGGAGAGGGAGAGAAAAAAAGACAGAGAAACAGACCAATTGACCTAGGCAGACAGCTGGAAAAGAACCTGATTAAACCACAGTATGAAAACATGGTCTTAAAACCTTTAAGAAAATAGCCATGTGGAGCCCAGTACTGTCAATATCCTTTGGTTAGTAAGAGTTAGGTTTTTTAAAAGCATGCACAGAACCCTTACTTTATGCAAATATACTGTGCCTCTCCTGGCCTAGGGCCAGAGTCCTGCCCTCTAGACATGAAGGAGGCAGAGAAGCCAAGGACTCAGTCCACTCAATGAGCCACAATGAGTACTTTTGGAGGTGTAGGAGAGGCTTCCTTGGGCCATACCTGTTAAACTGGGCTGGAGCCCTGAGCTAAGGAGTAAAAACTGCAGGCGTAAGAAGGCTCATTTTTCCTGCAGCATCAACTGCACTTGAAGTGAAAAGCATAAATTTTCAAATTTCAAAAATCTGAAATTTGAAATTTTCAAATTTCAAAAAACACTATCTCTCAACTCTGTACAGACATGTGTGCCTCCTGGTAAGGGCAGGCACCCACCTCTGGATGCTAAAACATTGGGCCCCTAAGGTGATCAAGCCTGTAGATCTACCTACCATTCACAAGAAATAGAGGCAGAGAACATGTTCAATGCAAACAGCAAAAGCTAGAATGGGGGAACTCTGACTACAGGATCATCAACCTGGATTTTTCAACAAATAAAATGCAAGGGAAAAATGAGAAGGGAAGGAGACCTCTACTAATTAACAGAGACTTAAGGAACTTACCAGCTGACAATTGTCTGGGCCCTGCTTAAACTAAAAAAACCTGAGACTAGTAGGGAAAATTCAATAGTACTATGATGATACTGTGCTTATAAATTAAATTTAAATAGCAATTTTATTGATAGTTTTCATTTATCAAAAATAACTATATAGGTCAGGCATGGTGGCTCACACCTATAATCCCAGGATTTTGGGAGGCTGAGTTGGGAGGATCACTTGAGCACAGTAGTTCAAGGGTACAGTGAGCTGCCACTGCACTCCAACCTGGGCGACAGAATGACAGAGCAAGACTCTTTTTCAAAAACAAAAACAAAAAAAGCAATACTCATCAAGGCAGGCCACCACCCCCAGCCCTTCTCCAGCCAGGAGCAATACTCATCAAGGCAGGCCACTACCACCCCGGCCTCCTTCTAGATAAAGGTGAGGCTGAGTGTTTCCAGAAAATAGGCCTGTGAGGCAGAGGTGCAGGCTACTACTTTTGGTTTTCAACGTGCTAAATCATTCCTGGGCCATCATGCATAATATCTACTATTCTCAGATTAATGCTAGCTTTAAAAAAAAAATAAAAATAAAAATAAGGTTAGGCAGAAACCAAAGCACAGTGCCATGTATGTAGAAGATGCTTAAATACATCTGCTGAAGAATGAAATTGCTAAAGCCAGAAATACTCATGTTCAGAATGTTTTAGAATTTAGTCTTTTTTTTGTAGAGACAGAGTCTTACTTTATTGCCCTCGGTACAATGCCGTGGCATCACATAGCTCACAATAACCTCTAACTCCTGGGCTTAGGCAATTCTCTTGCCTCAGTCTCCTGAGTAGCTGGGACTACAGGCGTCTGCCACAACATCCAGCTATTTTTTTGTTGTAGTTTGGCTGGGGCCAGGTTTGAACCAGCCACCCTCGGTATATGGGGCCGGTGCCCTACCCACTGAGCCACAGGTGCCACCCTGGAATTTAGTCATTTTTATGCAAAACAAAAACATAATAGCTAAAGAAAGAAATTATACAAATTTAAATTTTCGAGTGGCATACCTGTGTATCATATGCTGTAAGGAGCTCCGTTGAAGTGTGATCAGGGAGGAAGAGACTTCAACAAAGACAGAAGCAAAATAGTGCCAACCTTATCCTTCTTCAATTCATGTAGTGGAGTCCCTTACCTAGGAAGTAAGAGTAAGACTTGGTCAGCTCTTATTCAGAAAATTATAAAAGCTTTTAAAAATGGAATTTCAAAAATATAAATTTCTGTAAAATGATTAAGTAAGAAGTTTAAGATAAAACATTTTTATCTACTCTATATGCACATGCTTTGGATTTCTACACTTTTTTGAGTAGGACATGAATTACAAATTTGATTATTTTAAATCACTTTTGACACAAAGTATTACAAACTTACAAAAAAGTTTAAGAACTATATACATACAGTTTCATCAAGGAATTACAAAAAAACTCAACTCCAACTACCACCTAGGCCAAGGTATGTGACATTACCAGAACTCTAGAAAGGCTGGGTGCCTTTCTGACCCCAAGGCCCTTCTCCCATTAAGTAACTACTACCTTGGCTCAGTGCCTGTGGCTCAAGTGGCTAAGGCGCCAGCCACATACACCTAAGGTGGCTGGTTCGAATCCAGCTCAGGCCCGCCAAACAATGATGGCTGCAACCAAAAAAAAAAAAAAATAGCCGGGCGTTGTGGCAGGTGCCTGTGGTCCCAGCTACTTGGGAGCCTGAGGCAGGAGACTTGTTTGAGCCCAGGAGTTGGAGGTTGCTGTGAGCTGTGATGCCACAGCACTCTACCCAGGGGGACAGCTTGAGGCTCTGTCTCAAAAAAAGAAAAAAGTACTACCTTTCATGATCATCCTTTCCTCACTTTACTATGTAGGTGTACAAGCCCTATCATATCTAAGATTATTTTTGCCTGCTTCTGAATTTTATACAAACAGAATCCTACAGTATATAGTCTTTTCTCTCTTTATTCTTTGCTCAACATTGTTTCTGCTGTATCTGTAATTTACTTTCATTGCTGTGTAATATTTCATCTGCAAATGCACCATAGTTTAGTTACCCATTCCCTTGTCTTCTGGGTACTTTTTACTTTGGAGCAAATACAAGCACTGAGATATTTCTGGTACAACTATCTCAAGCACATAGGCATGTATTTCTCTGGTGTATTACATATACCTTAGAAATATGATTGCTAGGTTACGGAGTATATTCAACTTTGCTACATAAAGCCACATTATTTCCCAAAGCAGTTGTTAACTATTTATATTCCCACCAGAAGGTTATGAGAGAGTTTCTGCTGCTCAACTTTTTCAACAAGACTTGTAGATTTTTTTTTTTTTTTTTTGAGACACAGTCTTACTTTGTCGCCCTCGGTAGAGTGCTGTGGCATCAGCAACCTCCAACTCTTGGGCTGATTCTCTTGCCTCAGCCGCCCAAGTAGCTGGGACTATAGACACCTGCCACAACACCCAGCTATTTTTTGTTGCTGCTGTAGTTGTCGTTGTTTGGCAAGCCCCGGCTGGGTTCGAACCCACTAGCCCTGGTGTATGTGGCCGGCGCCCTAGCCACTGAGCTATAGGCACTGAGCCAAAATTTGCTAGATTTTTTATTTTTATTTATTTTCTAGTGACCTCTGGACTCTATTGGTATAAGGGCACACTGCTCCTACTGCCTCAGTGTCGTTGGTCTAGGGTAGCACTTCGCCATCTACTATCCTGCAGGTGGTGGTCTTCTGGATGGTTTACATGGAGTTGCTGCTGTTAGGACACACAGCAAGCAAAAAAAGCAATACTACTCAAGGCAGGCCACCAGTCTTTCAGCAGGCAGCGATAGATGGCAATCTCAGGCTCTAGTCTGACCTTGATGTTCAGCAGTGCCTCCTACTCCTAGGCCTGGTGCTATCCCTCTGCCCGGGTCTGTGTCAGCTCTGACTCCAAATGCAGCAGGATCCCATTGAGATATTCCATCTGCATGGCGTAGCAGGGCTCCACCTCCCTCAGGCTGTTCTCCAGGCTAGACTTTGGATTTCTCAAGGAGTCCAGGTCCATCTCCAATGACTGGACTGTACATTTCAGCTCTGTGAGCATCGTTTCAGCACTCTAACCTCAGGAGACTGTGAGGTGACCACTGTGGTGCACTCCCCAATCTGCTGGGACCAGTACTTGTCCGGCTCTTCTTGGTTCTTCCAAGCCAGCTCATCATATTGGGCCCACATGTCTGCCATGATCTTGCTCAGGTTGACTTTGGAGGTCCTGGGATTTGCATGTACCTCCAAAGTCAACCCAGAGAGCTGGCAATCTGGGCTTATAGGCCTTTTACTTCCTCCTGTGGTTCTTCTTCATGAAGAGCAGCTCCTCCTTGAGAACCTCAATCTCTGTCTCCAGCTGCAGCCAAGTGACATTGGTGTCATCAATGACCTTGCAGAGCTCATGGATGTTGCTCTCCATAGACTGGTGCAAGGCCAGCTCTGTCTTATACTTAACTCTGAAGTCATCAATAGCAAAACAGGCATTGTCAATCTACAAAATAATGTGGGCATTGTCCACAGAATTTGCAAAGCTCTGAGCTCTAAGATCCTCAATAGTCTTGAAGTAATGTGCCCAGTCTCTGACCTGGGGCCCCTTCTTCTCCAGGTTTCCTGAATTTTGCTCTCCAGCCTCTGATTATCGGGTCTCTAGGTTCCTCACTCTGTCCAGGTAGGAGGCCAGTAGTTGTTCAGTTCTTGCATGGTCTCCTTCTCAGTCTGGATGCCCCCTATTCCCATCCGACCCCCGGCCATCCCCATGGCCAGATCCCCAGATCCCCATCTGCCCTGGGAAGCTGGTGGAGCAGGACAGGGAGATCTGGAAGCCTGAGCCCCTGGTACCTGCACAGATGCTGGCTGCACTGCTAGCGGGCCTAACACTGTAGCTGGGCACTTGGACTGAGCCCAGGGACTGAATTGGTAGAGAAGGCAGTGGAGTGAGTGATGAAGGACATGATGTCCAAAGAGGAAAAGGAGAGGACAAGAATCAGGTGCAAGCTCCAGATTTTTTTAATTCCTGCTAATTCTACAGCTGTGTAGTGATAACCTAAGAATTATTTACTATAGAATTTTATAATTATTTTTAATAAAGAATTTATAACATTTTTATCTGATAATCACTCCAATATAGATTTAATTCTGCAACCATGCATTTGTTCACTTTTCCCATAGTTCCTGTACCCTGATTTCTTGCCAGGTGTAAATTCCCTCTCAGTCCACCAGCTCCCAGAGATACTGACCCCAACCTCTGGGCACAGAAAAACTGTGTGATTTGGGCCTGGCCAATCAGAGCATTCTATTCCCCTGGCCAGAGTTAATTCATCTCTCTGAACACTCAGGTCAGAATTAATGAAGTCATTTCTTTCTATTCTAGGACTTAAAGAGATTCTCACTCTTTAAAGAATTTGAACATAAATACACAGAAGTCTGCAGTTTATGTTGCTATCTGGCAACTATGAGTGAAGAACCTGTTTGAGAACACAACGAAGGGGGAGGAGAATGCTGGGGAACAAACTGAGCTACTTGAAGTGTCTACAACTAACTGCTGGGTGATCAATAAATCCTCTTGTTATTTAAAATAGTTTATGGTTGTGGTGGCTTACACCTATAACCCTAGCATTCTGGGAGGCCCCGGCAGGTGGACTGCCTGAGCTCAAGAGTTTAAGACCAGCCTGAGCAAGAAGGAGACCCTATCTCTAAAAAAAAAAAAAAATAGCCAAGCGTTGCAGCAGGTACCTGGTCTGAAGCAATCCTCCTGCCTTGGCCTCCCATGAGCCACTGTGCCTGGCCTATAAACTTTTTAAATGGTTATAGGACTAAAGTTTTCTATTCCTTCTTCAGTTACATTTCTGAAGATATTTATCTGCTTAATTTAAATTTTCATATCTATGGCATGATGTTATTTCTAATATCCTTTTATGATATTTTTACAGTCTACTAAATTCATACTGGTTTCACCTTTTTCCTTTCATCTCATTATTTGTGTCTCCTCTTTTTTTCCCCCTTATTAGTTTCACCAAAGGTTTGTCAATTTTACTAGCCTTTTCAAAGAACCAATGTTTGGTTTTGTTGCTCTTTTCTACTGCAAATTTTCCATTTGATTAATTCCACTCTTCCCCCACCCCTTCTATTTCCTTTAGACTTTTTTGGGGGGGGGGGTGATAGTCTTTTCCTAGTTTTCATGCTTAGCTTACTGATTTTTGGCCTATTTTTCTAAGACTATAAACCACTAAGTATAATTTTGACTGTGTTCTACAAATTTTGATATACAGTATTTTCATTATCATTCAGTTAAAAATGCTAACTTCCCATCTTCTCAGATCAGTAAGTTATATAAAAGTATTTCTTTGTTTTTTAACTCCCCCAAATTTTATAATCTTTTATAAATTTTTTTATATCTTTTTGTTCCTGATTTATAGCTAAATTCCACCAAGGTCACAGATTATGATTGTATTATTATAAGAATGCTTTTGAGACTTGTACTATGGCCAAGACTGGTCAATTTTTAGTTCTGTATATGCTTGACAATAAGACATATGTTGCAGTTTTTTTTGTTGTTTTTTTTTTCTTTTTTTTTTTTTGAGACAGAGCCTCAAGCTGTCCCCCTGGGCGGAGTGCCATGGCATTACAGCTCACAGCAACCTCCAACTCCTGGGCTCAAGCGAGTCTC